TGCTTAGGACGTCAGGGTCAGGCCAGTCTTAGTTTCAATTTATGAACCTCACATTTGCCTGCTTTTTTTTTTTTATGAATATTGTCCAGCAATATCCTGATCAGTAAAGCTTTAGTTTAGGTTTAATGAAGTTCAAAATTCATAAACATCTACTATCTCATTTTAATTTTGAAGTAATCCCTTGAAACTTAGGTTGGGAAAATGCTCATTATTCCTCTTTTACAGATTGGAAACTAAAGTTAAGAAATTGGTGTCTTTTGTTTCTAAAAGTTTATTGTAGATATAAAAGGAAAGAATAAACAATAAATGAAGTTCAGTTTTCACATTAAGGGAAAACTGAAGGACATGTAAACAAAAATAACTTAAGCAACAATATGTATGTGATTAGTTGGTGAGTTATAACAATATTATTTTCACATACTTTCTCAACAAATATTTGTTCACACTTTACCCAGTGGCTGAGAGAGAAATAAATTCCACTAAGAAAGTAAGGATGTACATCAGTGGTAGAGGCTTAAACGTTCAAGGACCTGGGTTCTATTCCAAATACTGCACCAGAACTAAACAAAAGGGAGACAAATACCGCTGAGAAAAATCTCTAAAATAAACATTTGAAAATAAATGCTGATATATGTATGACATCCAAAAGTTTGACATTAGGAGACAAGCCAGATTCACAAAAGAAATCACATATGACAGGCTTAAAGGACTTAGGCACTAAGCCACCTCTTCAGCCCTGGGGCTTCTGCTCTTTTTTAATATCCACAGTTAACTGTAGAATAATCCCTTCAATCAAAATAAGCCAGGTTATATTTTCCTTTATAGTATTAGTTTATCAATATAAAATAATAACAAACTAATTGATTTTTTCCACATTGAGAGTATCAACAAAAGCATGTGTGTTCATTCTGTCAATATGTTTTAGCTTGCGGTTATTTAAGACAATAAAAACTAAAGCAATAACAGTGAAGCTATATGGTGCTGGGATAGAGGAGCAATGCTGAAGACATTTTAGTTCTCCTGTCACTTTACTTCTAATACGTGCCTTGTCAGAACAGAAGATTTAGCTCAAGTGACCGAGGGCTTGCTAGCATCCATGGCCCTTCATTCAACCTCCAGCAGGAAAAAAAGTTAATTAATTAGCTTAACTAGAATATACTTGGATTAACATGGTTTCCTGTTATTGAGAGAAACTTATGAAGGAAGGAAGTCTTCAGGGCTGCATTGTGGCTCTATAACTACGAATAAGTCTACAGAAAATGCTTTCCTGTGTTTTAAACATGATTTTGCATTTGAATTGATTCACCCATCCACAAGTCCATGGTACTTTTTTCTTCTGAAATTTTTCATTTCCATGTCGTTTTTATATTTTCCTCGGAAGTAAGCATCCCTGTCTTTCTTGTCCAGCTTTACTAGTTTTTTGTAATTTCCATTGCAAGTCTAAGGCGCTCTGGTGGTTTGTGGCATTCGCTCGTTAATTTCTTGATGAATGGCTAAAGAGGCCAAGAAGTGCATTTGTTCAACATGTCTTCTAAGACAGATGATCTCAAATAAATTCTCCTCTCAATCAGATTTTGATTTGTTAGGTGATAAACCAATTCTTTCTAAAGGACAGTGTTTACAAGCCTTGTAATGAGACAGCCCTCTGAGACCTTACCTCCTTTTGCTGTAATGTTGATGGATGAAACTCTAATTCATAAAGGATATTGTGATTGAAAAGCACCTTTAAATCTCATATACTCTAATCTAGATAAATGTTTGCTTCAGTTCCGCAAACTGCTAAGTTTTCTGGGTTGCAAGCTGGTAACCCTCCAGCAGGGATGAGCAGCGCTGTGTGTAGGTACCAATTCCTTTAGTAAATACCTTGAAAAGACTTGAGTATTTGCTGCTTCAAAGCTGGAAGTGAGCAGACTCAAAGCTTGATACATTCCAAACTCACCTTCCTTCTCCTGCATGTTCGTTATGGGGAGGTTTTTATTTTGGTAACAAAGAGTCACATAAAACTGTTGTTGTTTTTTAACATGGCAGTGGTATAAGGAAAAAAATGCTTATTAGGTTGACAGAAACTTAAAGAGATTTGTTACCTTAATGCTTCATTCCCATAAATTAACACATATCAGTGAAATTCTGGAACACGTGGGGAAATTTTGATTTAGAGATATCCAGGGATGACTTCTGTGCCTCATGATGTTCACTCATTCAGGGTTTATTAGTGCTTGCTCCTTAACAGGCAGTGTGCTAAGTGCTGGGAATACGGAGAGATGTGTGATTCCAGCCATCAAAGTGCTCCAGGCGTCTGTGGAGATAAACATGCAAGCAATTGCAGTACCTGGTGCCAGTCCTTCGGCTCAAAGGTTTAGGAGGTGTGGGGAGAGCATAAGAGAATGAGTTGGCAATTCAGAGAATCATGACGGGAATTGGTTTACACCTGAACTTCAGCAGGATTTGTGCGCACCAGACCCTCATGCTGCAGAGATGGCATAGTGCAGAGGGCAGAGGGCCAGCGCACAAGAGATCCCACCTCCAATATGTAGCCAAAATTGTATCAGCCGTGACATCATACGGGGTTACTTAGGACAGATGTCTGAAGAAGAGAATTGTGATGGGCAACTAGAAAATCGAAGCAGAAAAAAGAAATAACTTTTATCTTGGTATAACATCAGCAGATACAAGAGGTCTGTGAGCACATAGCATTTTCCAGAAGCTATCCTTGACCCTGTGCTCCTGTGGAAAGCTGGAAGAGATGCTGTGAGGCTGGCAATGAGAGACTAAGAGGACTTGGTCAGCTGTGCCAAGGAGTGTAGGTTTTACCCTACAGTGTAAGTCTTGCTGTGAGTGTTCACGACAGAGGATTAACAAAATGAAACAGGAATACTCAACATACTTGTATGATTACGTTTCTGAAAAGTGTTGGCGGTATTATGAGCCAGGCATCTGTGAAAGCCTTCATACCAGGTAATAACTAAAAGTAGTGCAGTGGTCAGTACCACACAAGATGAATCTTCAGGCTTTGACCTAAGCTGTCGGGGAGGAAGAAGAAGCTGGTTAGCACAGCTGGGGAAGGCATGGCTACTGTTATGCACGTGAAGAGATGCCTGGGTTATTTATCATTATATTTGCATCTTTTGTTAAAGGAAGCAAGCTCAAAATTTCTCAAATTAAGTTACTGCCCAACAAGCAAGGGATTGTAACTGTAGCTCTTCCTCAGACATTCCTGCTGTGTGGGGGAGGGGTTTGTATTGGGAACATTCCAGGCTCTGCCCTTCCCCTTATATTCCAGAAATAAGAATCACCCATGATCCAGGAAAGGAAATATCCCCATGCAACCCATTTAAAGTCTCCAGTGAGGCACTGGTTTGCAGTATTTGTCTCAAGTTTTCCTAAACACCCCAGCACTGTGTTCCTGTGTTCGCCATGCTCTGTAAGGGCTGCTGCCCAGGAGGGCTTGAGTGGCAGCATGTCCCCGTAGCTGGTGACACACCACAGTAGTTCTGGTATAGTGGCCTCTTCAGCATGTGTTTTTACTTTTCTTGTGGCCTTTGAGTCAGTTTGTATTTACCAAGTAGAATTGACTCCCTTGTCTATCAAAAGGGAAAAAAAGAAAAAAGAAAAGCTGCATAGGGCAGGACAGGAAGAAGAAAAGAAGGATTGAGAGTAGTCTCACATGCTGTTTCCCAGGGCAAACTTTACAGCACCTAGCTGTGCTTGCAGGAAGGCAGTTGAGTAACACCTAACTGACTGTTGAAAGGCCTGTGGAATGACCAAATAAATGTACTGTGAATTGCGTTGGCCCAGAGCTAAACATGCCCTGGAAGCAGCATTGCCACCGACTCTGGCACTAAGCACAGCACCATCTCATAGGGCTGGCTTCTCGGAGGGCATTCTTTACATGCAGCATCTCGCTAGTTAGTGCTGTAAGGAGAACACAGTCTTTTCCTCCAACTTGGACTTCAAGGGACCCAGACAAGATTGTGAGTGTTAGGCACAGCATTCCGTAGACTGCAGTGGTATGACACAGACATAGAGTTTTTCTGTGTGGACTAGCACAGGTGTGCATGTTTGTGTCTAGTTTGGTTGCAGTTTTAACAATGTGGGTGTGGCCACCCACAGCAGGTGTTGGAGAGTAACTGTGGAAATGCTTGTCAAGCAGTCACATCCAGGAGGAGCTCTAGTGCACTAATTTCTAACCATTTATCTGTTGACATGGAATTTCCTACATTTCCGTTTTTCTTCTCATTTGTGTGTTTTGCTCTGGTTTTACATTATTTTATATGCAAAAGCAGAATATAATTTCAAAAAATACATTTTTATTTTACTAATTGGTAAAAAAAGCAGTTTATTCTGTTGACTTATTGAGTATCATTCTACCTTCACCTGTAACTCCCAAGTTGACAGTTTCTTCACTCAGAAGTAAATACTCTCCTCTTCTCTTTATACCTATCTTATCTACTTTCAAAAATTAAATTGATTATTTAGTTATTCACATGATTATGATTATATAAATAAAGTCCTCAGATAACATGCATCAGAAAGCTGAATTTGAAGGGGATACGGATATTTTGTAGAGCATTCATGAGTCTATAATCAAAAGGAATGGGTTATAAACTGGGCCTAATAGAGCAGGCCTGTAATCTTCGCTGCTCAGACCTGCTTCGGAGAATCACAAGTTCAAGGCCAGCCTTGGCAAGTCAGAGATACCTGGTCTCAAAAAATATAAAGGCTGTGGGTAAAACACAGAGCATTGTAAAGAAATAGAAGGATGGATTGTAGGGCCACTGTTGGCCAGTAGTTTGCCTCGCCTACTTCCTCATCTGTAAAATAAGGGAAAAAGTCTCCAGCTTTTCTCACAGAAGTCTAAGCAAGCAAAATAAAGAAGTATTTTAAAGTTTTCTATTGCTGTAAAGAAATAGCAAACACAGCATAAAGAAAATGTTTATCTGATACCCATTAAATGCAAACACATTCATAGTAACCTAAACTGCTATTTTGCTTGCACATAGGCACTGAAGAAGATGTAGTGAAGTCCAAGAAAGCATTCAGGAGCCAAGCAATCGTGAACCAGAACTCAGAGACTGAGCTTATGTTGGAAGGAGATGATGATGCGGTCAGCCTGCTCCAGGAGAAAGAAATTGACAACCTCGCAGGTACTTGTTAATTTCTTTCTGCTTCTTTTGAAGAACACATAAGCCACAGAACTCAAACTCTGTCACCTGGTGAAGAAATGTATGCCAGCGGTTGTCATGGTGCACATTCATGTGGTGTTGGTAATTTAATGTCCCTCAGTCTCTGGTATTGAAGCCAGGACTTGAAGCAAATGTGATTGAGTGACAGTAAATAAGCAGCAGTACACCTATGCAATGAGGAGCGGTGCTTTAAGCAGGAAAATAGTTCCGAGTACACATCCTCATATAAAACTGCACTGCTGTTGGGAGGTGGGAGAGGATGATGACTCCCTTGACTTCTGTGTCTCTAACCTGCCAACAGCCTAAATGGGCTCTTCAGCAAGGTGAGCATGGGGTTTGCCAGCCCCTAAGGCTGAAGGATCTGGAATGTCTAGCTCTTGTTTTGCTCTGCCCTCACACTTCTAAACCCCTATGACTAACAGTTAATCTTCCTTGTCCACCTTCATCTTCTCTTTGTCCTGGTGGTCTGAGGCCAGTTGAGAATAGAATCCGCCATAGCCTGACTGGGAGTGGACGTCTTAGAGGATCAGCTAATAACCTTTCAGGTCTGATAAAAGCAGGTCAGAAAGCGAAGACTAGAAATTGGGCACAGGCTTGGAGCATGCGTTGAGCCCAATAACCAGATCAGAGCTCATGTATTAGCTGGATATGGTGATACCTGCCATCTCAGCACTTGGCAAGAGGACCTCAAGTTAAAAACCTGCCTGGGCCCTGTACTAAAATTGGATTTCAAGCAAATGACAATAAAACCACCATGATCTCAGGCCTCTAGTTGAGCTTTAACCCCAGTTTGTCTTCAGCCCATACAACACTGGAGCAGCCGGTAGCAGTGGAGCGGTGTGCTTCTGACTATCTTTCTGTTTGTAAGGGTACGCTTCCGTCTCCAGAACTTACTGAAAGTGATCTGGGGTAGCTATATAGAAGCCTATAGTGATTTTCTCCTAGAGGGGAGACGTTATTATTTATTGCACAGAGGAGGTTGGCTCTCATCCTCCCACTTCTGGATGAGGACTATACCATGCAGGGTTATTCTAGTGCCAGGTCCTTGAGATTCCTGTTACTACGTTACTGTATTGTGAAAACTGTGCTTCCTCCTTCTAAAATCTATTTCCTGTTTCCTGAACCTAATACCAAGTATTTGTCTTTAATTCCAAAGTAAACTTTCAGGTGTGGGTTTTGGAAATGAAGGCCAACAAAGGTTGGTGCTTCATTTGACAGCAAGTGTGACTCCTTTCCTGGACTATTTCTGAGGTCATAGGACACTCAGAGATGTGATGTCTGACCTTGCCTTTCCTCATTCACCTGTGCTAACATATATGTTTTACCATTGTGTACTTTACTTTTGCATTATCTGGACTTTGTTCCACTGAAAATAGCTGACTCTAGTTTGCTGGGTATCCTGAAGCTCATGCTAAATCTGCTCAGTATTAATATTAATCTGCCAATCACACAACATACAAAATAGTAGTAACTATTTGTGTTTCTGTCCTTTAATGGTAGCTAGCTTTTAATTTCTGTCCCTAAAACAGTAAAAACATTAAGATCAGACACGTTAGAGCAAAAAAGTACCCTTGAGATAATCTTTTAAATTTTTTATTGTTATTTCTTATTTAATACCATGTCAGTTTTACAGAATCATTGTATTTTTTTAATTATAATCCCTGCACAGATGTAGCCCATGGCAGCTCAGTGTCCATGTGGGTTCCCTGGTAAGGGGAACAAGGACTGTTTCTGACATGAACTCAGTATCTGGCTTTTTGATCACCTCCCCCTGAGTGGGGAGCAGCCTTACCAGGCCACAGAGGAGGACATTGCAGCCAGTCCTGATGAGCCCTGATAGGCTAAGGTCAGATGGAAGGGGAGGAGGACCTCCCCTATCAGTGGACTAGGGGAAGGGCATGAGAGGAGATGAGGGAGGAGGGTAGGGTTGGGAGGGAATGAAAGAGGAGGCTACAGCGGATACAAAGTGAATAAATTGTAATTAAAAAATTACAGTGATTCTGAGACAAAGTATTAATAAAAGTCACTTAAAAATCAGATCGTATAATTTTTAGCCATCTGTCCCTCAGGCCTCCTCTGGTTCCAGCCTTTCAGGGGATTTTTTTTTTAAACAAATATGCACTTGTCCATATCCACTGGGTCCTAACCCATCCTCTTTGTGTAGGATCATTATGTCTATCTGCAAAGGTTAGAGTGTATTCTAAAATACTGAGGATCATTGCCTAGTCCTCAGTGTTCATCTTTAAAACAGTTGCCCAAAGTGTCACTTGGAGCCTTTAATAAAGGAGAAAAGGAGTGAGAGGTGATAAACAGAAGCACACTTGCTGCTCATACACAGGACCCAGGATCAATTCCCAGCGCTCACATAACAGCTCACAAGTTCCAGGAAACCCAACACCCTCGTACAGACATATATGCAGGCAAAGCGCCAGCGCACATGAAATAAAAATAAATTAATTTAAAGATTAAAAGAAGTGTCTCATCAAAAATACACAAGTAACTAGTAACCTGCTCTGAGCAGAGTCTACTGTCCTCTTGTCATAGAACCCTTCTCTGCAGACAGAGACACAGCTGAGGAGAAAGCACTACCGTCTTCACATGAAACTGTGAACCCAGTGCCCTTCCTTGTCACTCCATCTTGCATTGTTCTAGCACAGTAGTGCTTAGAGGTCTGTGAATATGCACAAGAGCTAGGAACAATAATTTTAGCTTCAATAATAGTCTACATGTTGCCTAACTCCATTCTAAAGTATTTTTAATCTATTTTTTTAATCCTTTTAAAAAGCACAGCTTTACTTGAATGTTGGCTGTTCATCATGTTTTCTTTATTGTTTGGTACTTTATGCTTTTAATAGAAATAAATGTTTGTAAAGTTTTATAGCTTTAATGTCACGTGATTTTCTTTTTCATTTTTAGTTCCCTTTCTTCCCAGGCTGTTCATCTCAAGAGGCAAGTTAAGTGTGTGTAGCTACTAATCATTCAACTTACTATGTCTGTAGCGAGCATCTAATAGGATTTTAATATACAAGTATGTCAATCAACTAAGTAATTATTATATTATTAACACCTAACCTAATTTACTTTAATTGCTGTTTTAGTTTATAGCCATCCACCAAAGTGAATTAGCCCTAAGATTCCATATGTGCCTAAATATTTCATCTTACTAATTATATTTTTACTTGAAATACTGAAATAAATTAGTATAAGCTAGCTGAATTTAATCTAAAATGCCAGTTATTTTATTTGAGACTTAGCAAGTTGTTTCTGCAAAATTTTCAGTTAATAAAATTGAAGATTAACTCAAATTTATGTGAGTAGACAGGGGAATGATTGCACTCACCTGATAAAATGCCAACCCACTGGTACAATGTATTTTATTTCTCTTAAAAGACTATTACGTGGATCTGGAGTGATATTTAAAAGCACTTTCTGGTTTTAGAAAGGCCCTGAGTTTGATTCTGATCACCTACATTAGGGGTTCACAACCATTTGTATCTCTAACTTCGTGGAGTCATCGTGGTAAGAAACATGCCAGCATGCAGGCAGACATGGTGCTGGAGAAGGAGCTGAGAGCTCTACATCAGGCAACAGAGAACCCTGGGCATGGCTTGAGCATCTGAAGCCTCAAAGCCCACAGTGAAGGACAGACTTCTTCCAACAAGTCCATACCTCCTAATGGTGCCATTCCCTATGAGTCTATGAGAGCCATTTTCATTTAAACCACCACATATATATAAACAGAAAATAATAAGCCTTTTTAAAAAGGGGTGGGAAAGGAAGCTGGAGATACGCTTAGTTAGTTAAAAGCACTGGCTATTTTTGCACAACACCTGAGTTCAGTTCCTGCCACACACTTGGCAGCTCACAACTATCTGTAAGTCCAGTTCCAATGGATCTGAAACCCTGTTCTTGTACCCAGAGGCCCTGTATTCATGATGCACATAGTATATACAGGCATTTACATATACACATAAAATAAAACTTAATTTTTAAACAGAGATTCGCATATGCTGAGTGACAGCAGAAATATTTTATATAGCCAAATTCCTTTATTCTTATGCCCAGAATTTAGTATTACAAATTTAGGGAATTCTACTCAGTTAATAACAGTAATGGTCTTTTGTTATCAGTTCTATAAGTTGTACTGGTTTCAATTATTGTTGTTTCATAGAAACCTTTTATTATCATCCTTTTAATATCTAATATCTAAGAAGAATTTCCTATAAGCCTAATGTTCAGACTTTTTTCACCAGAAATATTCTTTTTTTCTCCTCATTCTACAACCTCTGTGACAAACCAAGATTCTCACTTCCCAATAAGAAAACTAGAAACTCATAGTAGCAAAAGTAAGGAAGTTAATTTTCTGAACTTGCAGAGTTCTTTTGTTTAGTGACAAAAGATGTCAAGTTGAGACTTTGTTTCCATTATTATTTGAAGACTACAATGAGATTGCCTTCATATATTTTAGGAAGTTTCCACTGTACCAGGTTTCCATACCAAATCTCAAATGCTCCTCAATTCTGGCTGACTCTCCCTGCATTCTCTCCCTCAACCCCATTTTCCTCCCCCTCCCCGTATGATCCTCCTGTTCCCACTCCTTCACCACCGCCATTAGACCCTAAAGTCTGTTCTATTTTCCTGTCCCAGGAAAATCCATGTACCTTCCTTCGTCCCCTCCTCTATACCCAATCTCTCTGGGCCTATGGATTATACCTGTTGTCATTTATTTAGTTGCTTACACTTATATATAAGCAAATACATACTAGATTTATCTTTCTGTATCTGGGTTACCTTACTCACAAAGATTCTTTTTCTCTAGTTCTGCTCATTCGCCTGAAAATTTTATGTCATTTTTTTCTTCAGTAATTTTTGACCATTTTATTTAAAAAAAAAAAATATTTGTTCTCTCATACATTACACCCTGACCAGAGTTTCCCCTCCCTACACTCCTCCCAGTTTCC